GGATGACATTGGAGTTTCAAATGACGATGCATCTGCTGGATTTTTCCTTCCACGTCCGTCTCGAGCTGAACGTGCTGTAGATGATCCAATTAGAGATATGGAAGGCATGCTTGTTGATGAATATGGGAGGTCTGATGCTTCTTAATTGCTATTCTTATTTGAATAATTTTGCTTTTACTTTTTTTTAGTACTTAAATATGATGTTTTTGTCACGATGGGAACTGTTAAACATAGTCATTCGTTGTCTATCTATTGTTCTGCTGGATATCAAGAAAAGGAGTTAGTAAAGTAGTAAATCATGTTTAATGCTAATCAATTTGTCGCATGCAATTCACTTATTCACTTATAGTTATTTGTTCTCATAAAACTTTATATTGTCATTATTCTCAATGTATTCAACAATTCAGTGTATAAAAACTTTAGAAGAAAGTTACTACGTCCATTCACATAATTGAATATGGGAGGTCTCTTTCGATTTCGATTTCGATTTCGAAATCTATGTTTGGGTGATTCGTTCTCAATTTCGAAGCTTATTTTGAATCTCAGAATATTTGTTAAAGCCTTTGTAAACCCTTATATTGAATCCTCACGCCTTCAAATCTCGCCTCTCTCTCAACGCTCTCTAAACCCTTATCATTCTCACGATGTTGCTCCAGAACGGTGTCATCTTTCAGAGCGATTTTGATTTCGAAGCTCCACAGCCACCACTGGCGACGCAGCGACCACCATCGGCGAGCGATTTCGATTTCGAAGCTCCAGAGCGGTGTCTCTCTCTCTAGATCTCTCTTCATCTTTGAGATTCAGAGATTCAGATCGGTCTCAGTGATTTCATCTCAGAGCGATTTCGAAGCTCCAGCGAGGTATCGATTTCTCTCTCTCTCTCTCTCTCTCTCAAGCCCTTCCTTCCTGTCTCTCTCAATTTCTCAATTTGGTATTTATTTGCTTGGAAACCTGTTCAATTTCTTCTTTTGCTTGCTTTGTCATTCTTCCTTAATATGTTGTTTTTAGCAAATTTGATGTCATTCCTAGATAGTTGGCCCTTGTTTCTGTGTCATTCCTGTAATTGAATGATGAAATTCTAGGAGTTTCATATCTTACAAAGCCATAAGATATGTATCTGGTTCAAAATGCAAAGTTTAGTTTGCTTATCCCTCCATGGCTTCTGGTTAGTTCAAGTGTTCTTTGCGTAGTTTTCGTAGTACTTGGACTCTAGGTATTAAAGGCACTGTTATGCACATTCCCCTAGTGTTAGTGTTCTTTTTCATATATGAATTGTAGACTGTTGGTCACTGCTGCATCTACAAATTTTTGGGATGATGCTCTTCAATCTTTTTGTTCTTTTAAGGTTCTAAATTATACATTCTGTTTTTAAGCTTATATTGACTATCTTATGCATTTGATATGCTTTGCAGTCCTGCAATTCTTAGGTATCTTGCTTGTGCATTTCCTGGAGTAGCTGATCACTGGTGAGAATTGTTGCTTCTTTTTTGCAATTAGTTTGCCTATAAGGACCTGTGTTATAGCATTGAAATGACAATTCTAGTTGGGCCAAATGGTTCTATTGAAATGAGAATTCTAGAAGCTTAAATTTGTTCACTTTAATTTGCACAAATCCCTCCCAGAAATCTGCTGTTGTGTGTACAATATAACATGAGTCTACCATTTGATCAACATATAGGCTATAGTTTGAAAACATCACAATACAAGCTTGTTGTAATACTTTAACTTGAATTGCCCCTTCCCTTTTTCTTTTTTTTTTTGGGGAGGGGGGGAGAGGGGAAGTTGGTGGGTTTTGTTAATTGTGTGATATTGATTGTCTTGTTGTAAGGAGGAATTTTTGGGTTTTGGGTCATAGACCCACCCATGGTTTTGATGGCTGAAACTGTTGTGTTGATACGATTGATACATTCCTACAGTTCAAGCAGCACTGCCTCGCCTTTTAGGAGCTGCTGCTTCTCCTGGAGTTGCTGCTCGTGAAAATCACCCTCAGTGTCTCAAGGAAATTGTAACACTTCATACCAGTGAAAATCTTACCTGATAAATTGAATTAATTGTATCCCATAGGTTTTGCGATTATGGCTTGAGAGGAAAATCTTACCTGAGTCTCTTCTTCGCCAATATATGGATGACATTGGAGTTTCAAATGACGATGCATCTGCTGGATTTTTCCTTCCACGTCCGTCTCGAGCTGAGCGTGCTGTAGATGATCCAATTAGAGATATGGAAGGCATGCTTGTTGATGAATATGGGAGGTCTGATGCTTCTTAATTGCTATTCTTATTTGAATAATTTTTGCTTTTACTTTTTTTTAGTACTTAAATATGATGTTTTGTCACGATGGGAACTGTTAAACATAGTCATTCGTTGTCTATCTATTGCTTCTGCTGGATATCAATAAAATGAGTTAGTAAAGTAGTAATCATGTTTAATGCTAATCAATTTGTCGCATGCATTCACTTATTCACTTATAGTTATTTTGTCTCATAAAACTTTATATTGTCATTATTCTCAATGTATTCACAAATAACTGAAAGACATTCCTCTTTTGTGCATACCATTCAAATGTTACCTTATTTGAATTATTTTGATGTTGTTGACTTGCTACTTTTCCAGGGCCTTTGGTACAAATAACTGTAAGTGCTGAGACATTTGCTCACTTTTTGATTTTGTTATCCAGAAAAATGCTGCTTCTCTTAGAATTGGGAAATGGTGCAAGAATGCCACTTTCATACTAGTGTGTACTAGATTCTAGTAGCAAAGAATTCTTGTATTACTGCAATTGAGTTGTATATTGAAGATATCCCTAGTTTGCTCACTGTTTAGATGAGAAAGCTAACCAAATACTTTTCCCTCGACTTTTCATTTCTTCCCTCGTCAAGACAGTCTTTTCTATTGACTTTAATTAGAAGAGAATTCCTACGGAAGCATAGGGAAGTCTTCTACTCTCTTCTCTAATCTTACATTGGTAAGTCCAAAGGAAGACTGCAACTTGTTTGTGAGTGAGAGCAGAGACAAACTGAGCCAACCAACCAATGCTAGCCCATAAAGAATTGTTAAAATAATAAAACAGGCCCACACATAGAATACAGAACTATTCTAATGCCCCTTGTTGTATCGCACAGGTAAGGTGCACCAGACTCGTAATTATCATGATCTATAAAACAGTGTCAACCAATGATAGCCCATATGTACGCTTAGGCTGGGCTGTTGAGCTTTTAGTTATCTATCTTTGCTAATATGTTTATCATCTTGTGATTCTGGGCATACTAAGCAGTAAGCACGATCCTTTTTTTTAAGAAATGTCATAGTCACTAGATATAAAGATCTGTTATATGTATCATGTACCTTTCTACTGATTAGCTGATTGTTTGCAACCCATCTCATGAGTTGTCACCTCGTGATTTACCATCAACGAACAAAATTTAAATTTAAATCTGGTATTGAGGACAAAAAAGTTTTGCATTTGTTTCTTGAACATTATCCACCTTGACAGTTACTTTGGTAGCTTTGGAGTTAGTGGTGCTATACCTTCAATGTTTGCTGCTCTACGAAATCTGCAGACAGCGTAAGAGCTTTCTGAACTATCCTTTTTGCATATCTGAGAAACTAAAAATTGTGTTCAGATTAATTTTTTTTGTTATCAATTTTACTGAGGAAGAATTTTGGGGATCTCAGGTGGGCTTCAGACAATGAACTCACTGGTAGCATACCTGAATTCATTGGGAATTGGTCAAAGCTTAAAAGCTTGTAAGCAATCTTCGATGTTGTGTTCTCTTTATTTTGACAATCACACTCAAATTATAGCCTTACTTTAAAATAGCAATGTGTAGTAACTGAGATGTATAACACTCTTCAGCAATCCACTTCACTTTTCTTTTTCTTTTTCTTTTTCTTTTTTTTCTTTTATTTATTTTATTTTATTTTATTTTTGTTTGTAGGAGATTTCAGGGAAACTCCTTTGGAGGTTCAATACCAACAACATTTTCCAACTTAACCTTGATGGAGGACTTGTGAGCATTAACTCTTTCAACAGCTTTTGTTCATATTAGCATATCAATAAAGCTAGTCTTCTCTTTTATAACATACCCATGCTCATCTAGAAGGATAAGTGATTTATCTAATGGAAGTTCTTCATTGGCGTTTCTTAAGGATATGAAATCTTTGAATCTCTTGTAAGGCGATATGGTTATTGCTGGCAAATCTATTCTGTTTTAATTTTTCATTTTCATGCTCCTTAATTGCTCTTGTACAAAACTAATATAACCATGTGGTTTCATGTCTTGCAGAATTCTGAGGAATAACAATATTTCTGGATCTATCCTATCCAATATTGGAGATTATCAAAGATTGTTACAACTGTAAGTTACTGCTATTAATTTCAGGTCAGCTCCCATATGCTTCAACCTGAAATTTGGCCAGTTCAGAGCCAGATGGCAGAAGATGGGGTCAAAACCAGACAACCAACTCTATGAAGCAAACACTTTTAATGTATTTACGTTATTATTTAATGAATTTACTTGACCGTGGTTTGTATAATTTTTTAGGGATTTTAGCTTCAACAAATTAACTGGACAGATTCCTGATTCGCTGTTCAATTTGAGCTCTCTCTCTTACTTGTAATAAACATCTTGTGCTGTATTATTTTAGAATCTTTCCAACATATACTGTTTATTGCTTGAACTAATTTCTTTATGCCCAGGTTTCTTGGGAATAATAAATTAACTGGTACCCTTCTTGCACAAAAGAGTTGCACAAAAGAGTACATCTCTCCTGAATATGTAAGTACATCTTACATAACAACCCACAGTTTAATTAGAATATAAGTGCTGTTATCGAAAAACTATATGTAAGTTGAGAAGTTCTTTTGTTTTCTGGCACATAATTATTGTCAAAAATGGTTTTCTCTTCCCAAATATGAAGGTTATATAATTTCTGAAGCATAATGTACCTTCAAACAGGTCTATGATACAGCACAGAGTTAATCCATTTTGCCATAAGTATTCTTGACAGCAGCATATTTGTCACACAACCCTGCTACCACATGCTAGAAAATCATGTATTAAGCAAGACAAAGATCCAAGAATACATGTATGTGTAAATGTAAATGTAGAGATGTATACAAAAAAAGCCAACATTAGGGAACACACTAGGGGAGGTAAATATTAAATATTTGGACATACACTAGATTTCTGTTTGCATATTGATATGCCTGTGATAATTTATTTATTTATTTATTTTTAATTTTATTTATTTATTTTTTCTGAGAGATCTGGCAAAGCGGCAGAAACTAAAGTTGCCTAAGGGATGCGGGTAAGTTGTGGAGAGAATGTTGCATTTTTTTTTTGGTTTTATTATGTTTTATGATACAAAAAATAATATGAAATTGGGGTTTGCAGGTATGAGTTCCAGATGCAATATGGATCAATTGGCTGGGCTGTAGGTGCGACTCTTGGATATGCACAGGCTGCACAAAATAAGCAAGTGATTGCTTCCATTGGTGACGGTAGCTTCCAGGTAATTATGCATACATTTCAATCTTCATTGTATATAATATACTTTTGATTTTTATAAATTCTCCTAATCTTATGAATACTGTATTGGACATACTTCCTACGTTGATGTTTGTATATCTTCATCTTATGTCACCTAACATGCACAATATGAAGGATTATAAACTTAAGGGATTGTAGTAATGGGATTCATTGCTTTGAATTTGTCCTTGTTAACACCTATTTTGGTGAATGCTTGGCAGGTGACAGCACAAGATGTATCAACAATGCTGAGATGTGAACAGAGGACCATCATCTTCCTTATAGAACCCAGGAATTTTTGTTTAGTAGATGCTTTCATAGTACTTGTATATATAATTAGTTTGAATTGCATCTTTTGTGCTGATCTGTTTTGTAATAACTTTCAACTTACTACTAGGTACTAGTTTAACTTTATTTCATCTTGAAATTGAAATATTTTTGCATATTGAGAAGCATGAATTGATCTTGTATTATGTTTACCTAAATTTAGTCAATATATTGTATATTTTCATCTTTATAAAAGGTATTTTTTTTTATTTAAAAAAATAAAATTATAACGGTGTTTTTAAACGTAACTATAGAATGCCAACAGTTATATTTTGAAAATAAAAATGACCTATCACGGCGTTTTTAAAACGTCGCTAAATGTGTAGTGACGTCATTGTATAAAACGCCGCCTATACTGATATAGCGACGCTTTTAAAACGTCATAAAGTTACAGCGACGGCCGCATCTTCGGCGTTTGGTACTAAACGTCACAAAAACAATTAGCGGCGTTTTTAGTAACTATAGCGGCGTTTTTAAAACGCCACTAAAAGATCAATTTCCAGCAGTGATTCTTTGAAAAAAAAAAAACAAAATTCTAAAGATATTAATGTAACTATGCATAATAAGAACAAATAAAAGAGCATATTTGGAGTAAAGTGGAATGAGAATAGCGGTTTCCTTTTGAAAATCAAAATAAATGTCACATCATCATACATTTTTTCTAAATAATTACAAATGATGTACGACCATTGTTTGAACATAATTTGTCTATTAAAAATTAATGGAATTTAGAAGAGCAAAAAATCTTATGTAGCATTTAATGGAATATAAGTTCATAAAATGAAATTTGTATGTAAATACTCTTAATAAAAAACACACTAACCATTTAAATATTACACACAATATAATTAGTATAATAGTATAGATAAAATCGTAGACCACATGGGTCAACTTGTTATGGGTGCTCGAGCCAAAAGGCCAGAATCAATTTTTTTTTGTCCAAAGGTCCAAGCATTGTATAGCAATTCTGGTTTTATGATTTTGTATTGTCGTTCATGTCTTACTGCCCTTATATTTCATTGATGAGTTTGGTTATTGGGTTGTATTGGTTGTGTTTGGAACAGGTTGATAGCTTGGTTTTCAAACTTTTGTTGCCCAGAATTTTATTCCTCCACTCGAGCTTCACTTCTTACGCTTGAGCGGGTTTTGTGAATTCTCAGTACTTTTGCAAGTCTGCAAAATTACTAGGAAAGTGTATTCTATGCTCTAGCGATCTTGGCTCAAGTGGCCATTTCTGCTCTCGAGCAATCTTGGCTCGAGCGTTGGTCTTCTGTTTGCAAAACTACTGGAAGTGTGTATTCTACGCTCAAGCGTCACTTCTTGCGCTCAAGCAAACTGTGCGTATTTTAGTTCGTAAAAATGTCATTTTACATCACTTTTTCACATCTCTCTCTCTCTCTCTAAACTTTTTAAAAACCTAAGTTGAGACCCTCTCTCTCTAAAACTTACTCTCTCTCTCTCTCTACAAATACACCAAGATTTACCCATTTATTCATCCTACTCCATTTGTTAAAAAGGTTGAGCTCACCTAGAGCTTCGTTGTCATCCAAATAGAGTTGGGTTTTGACATTGTTGAAGTGTCATCTCTTTCCTTCTCGTCTTCTAGCTTCAAGGCAAGGATTTTCTACACTGTTTTATGATTTTTAACTTAGTTATTTGTTTTTCATAAACAATATTGTGATTTTTGAAGAATTTTGAACAAACCTAGGGTTTTGGTTTAAAATTAAAAGAAGATTTTTCAAATGGTTGTACGGAAAATGGTTATGAGAGAGGAAATGAGTTTAAGTTGTGAACAAATCATTGATTTTGACATTTGCGTTGAATTTTGGAAGAAAAGAGGTTCTGCTCTAAATGACCCAAATGTTTATTTTGTATAAATAAATAGAATTGATGATGAAAATGTGAAATTGGATGGATGTTAATATAGATGGTGGAGTTGGATATGTATTATCGCTCACATCTTAAAATTTGGAAAGCTTATCTGTGTCCGAGATTTTATATCTGTTTAGAAGTATCTATTTTGGGCTATCGGTGGAGAATAACTATGATTGTTGTAGAAATTGCATGAGAATTGGGTGAATTGAAACTAATTTCTCATTCACGTGCATTGAACATTTGTTGCTCATTTAATACATTGTAAATGTATATAATTTTGAGAAAAATTGGTAAATGTTGAAAAAATGTGTATATCACCAGATTATGTTGGCCTATGCGTCTAAGGTGAAAATCCCAAAAAATACGCGTATACATGGGTGCCGATTCCCTGTGGACGAAGTATCCGTAAAATGACAATAGTTGTGCTTGTATAGGTTACGTTTACATGGATACTGTTTGACGGTTTCCCGTGGACGAAAATGTCCGAGAAAGGTTGTATCGGTTTGAGAAATTCTCTCTTGTTTCCTATGGTAAAGAATATGATTTGAGAATTGTGATATAAATTGAGCATGACATGATTTTAAGAAAGAAATGTAAATCATTTTGACATGGGCATTGCAAAGAAATGTATATATTTGTTAAGATTTATATATTGTGTCAGATTATTTCTGCTGGGCTTTGGCTCACTCTATTTAGAGAAAATCATTTTCAGGTGCTACTGATATGCCTTCCACCAGTGACTTAGCTTGGGAGGACTGTGGAGCTAAAAGTTTAGTTTTATTCTTTTGTATTCATTTTTTTACAAGCCTAGGGCATTCTTTGTATTAAGCTTAAGACTCACTTTAATGTGCCCAAGCCTTGACTTAGAAAGATATAAGCCTTTAGGGCATATGATTATCTCTTTAACTTTTATTTCTTTTTATTGCTTGGTAACACATACTGCAGATTCAAGATGTATTATTTTATAAATGTATATTGTATGTGTCACCCTTTTGTACAACCGAATCTTATGTAATAGAAGTACATCATACCTTAATTCATATTGTTATTTACCTATCGCCTTAGATGGTTTATTGCATTTATTTCGGGGTGCTATACGCTGATTTTCTTTGTCCACAATGACAAGTTCATACAAAAAGGCCAAACAACCTATGTATATATATATATATGTATGTTATACGATAAACAAACCAAAACAAAGCGACTTCGAACACCGTCCCACTGTCACAGTCCTTCTATTTGGCCGTCATCATCCTCGCCAAAACAAACCCTCAAATTTGTATCATTTGTCTTCTCTATCTCTTGCTTCTCCTCACCTCCTTACCATTATTGTTGTCTTCCTGACCATTGACCACCCTCGTCGATTGAAGCACCACTGTCATCGATCAAAGTATTATCGATTTTTATTTCTCTATGTTTAATGATGATGATGATTCAGATCTGGACTCTGCTGTTTTCCTTTACCTTGTGCCACTGCTGAAGAAGTCAAATTGCCGCTACAAATCTAGCCAACCACCATCTCTTTATAATCTCCAGTTCACCGTCTGAAGAAGAAACCCTAAATCTCGGTGTCACCGTGGTCGACAGCACTGTGGTTCCTCCATCGGATCAACAGTGCTTATGAACATGTCAACACTGTGTGTGGGTGTGTGCGTGTGCGTGCGTGTGTGTGTGTGTGTGTGTGTGTGTGTGTGTGTGTGTTTATATATATGTGTTTGTGTTTTAGATCTGTGTCTAGATCTTACTATTTGATTTACATGTGTTGATCTATATCTTTTTTTTTTTGGTTATAGATCTTGCTTTTCTTATTGTTGTTGTTATTGTTGTGATTGTTGTTATGGAAATCGGGAAATGAATTTGTTTGTGGTTTGATAGATGTAGTTGGCAGTAATGGTGTAAGTGTGAATGTGTTCTCAGATGGTGGTGGTGGTGAGAAAGAGAGAGTTGTTTCATTTCAACAGATGAAACAAAAAGAGCAGATTTTTTTAATAGACCACACATGTTTCTAATAGATACCAAAAGTGAACAGATAGCATAAAAATAAAAATTTGAATAGATAGGCTCAACAGATAGAAAAATGAATTGTTATTTTAACATATAGAAAAAAATTAAACAGATAATGAAATTTTCACAAATATTTAAACAAATAGTCAAAAAAATTTAAACAGATAGATTATAATTTGAATAGATAGATATAAATTTGAACAAATAGTCAACGAAAAGTCAACAGATAAAAAAATTCAATAGAGAAAATAAGGGGTAAAATTGAAAACAAATTATCCTCCAAAATCAATTAAAGGATTTTTAACCAAACTATCTCACAAATGATGAACTTCTCACTAATAAAAAAAATATTTGTTTGACCTAATACCTTATATACTATTTAAATTGAATTTATCACCAATTTATTCATTTAACCCCAGAGTGCGAATGACAATTTATCTAGCTAGTCCTTATAGGTCTCAACCATCTTTTGTAAGATGTTCTTGATATTCTTATGGGTCAATTGTTATTAAGATAATAAGTACTAAATAACACTTGGGAGCTCCATAACCTTCAATTGATTTATAACCACTCATTTATTTATTTATTTATTTATTTTTCTCTTACTCCTTCCTCTATCTCACAATGGTGGTGTTTGGGAAGTTTTTTTGTTTTTTTGTTTTTTTGTTTTTTTGCTAAAAAAAATACTAAAAGACAAAATTAGTTAAAAAATAAAAAAACAAATCCAGACAAAATGTCACATCAAATCCATAATCATTTTACTTTTTCTTTCACAAATATCACATCAATTACAAAAAAACTCAACTATATTCCCAAATATAAAAATTTTAACCTCCTAAAATAATCAAAAATTTAAAAAATTTACTAAAATAACAACTTCCCAAACACTCACAACAGGCTTGTTTGACAGAGCTTATAAGCTGCTTATTTCCGCTTTTAGCTTAATTTAAGTTAAAATATTGTGTTTGGTGCAACTTAAGTTAACTAGCTTATAACTTAAATCAAGTTATTTCTCAGCTTATCTCAAAAACTGGTCAGGGATTGCTTAAATTTTTGACTTAAGCGCGCAGTTGGTGTGGGGGCCTAAAATTACTTAA